CAGTACTGGTAGATGAAAATACTGTACTCTTGTTTTAGTGGCTTAATAACTAGATGTCTCTTCATGTGTTTAAATGTTGTAGCAAAAATACACACAGTTAATGAAGAGTAGGTTTTGTTTTATCATAATGGCAAAAGACGTACTTTGTGTACGTCCAAGCTTGAAAAAAATGTCAACAGTTTGTGATTCAATTCAATAAAGAACAAAACCAATTGTAAAAAGAAAATATCATGGCCTGAATCAGGTTCACCTTAGTCTTCAAATTTACATCATTTTGCCTCAGTACTTTTGACAGGTTCCTGACGGCAGAAATGCCCGATACGATACATCTTCTGACCTCCTGAGTGCTAGTACCAAGGATGTTGATTGTGGATAAATAACATAAGCTGTCCTTTGAAATTTTCTTTTCATCTCTTTTACTTCTGCATTTCTCCCCTTTGTTTTTGGCTTCTCAGTGTTCTAGTGTAAATTTCAGAGTCTTTCTGTCATCAATTTCTGTATCCCCTCCTCTTCTGTATTTTCAAGAACCTTTTGCTCTCTTCATGGAATATATCTTTGATATAATTTCATAACTCATCTGGCCTTTGATTATTAGTGTACAATGCCTCAAACCTACTTTTGAGATGATTTTTTGAATTCAGATAGATTCAAAATCATATTTTGGTTCTTGTGAAATTGTTTTAATTTTGTTCAGCCTCAATTTGAAATTGTACATGAGTCTGTTGTATATGTACATGATGGTCTCTTCTCTAGTGAGCACCTGGCCAAGTTTTGACAGTTAATATTGAACTTCTCCAACAAGTCCTTCCTCAGATGTAATCAATCTGATTCCTGTGCAGTTTATCGGTTAAAATCATGTGTAAACTTGTTAAAATCATGTGTGAACTTGCTATTTGTGTTTTTTAAAAAAGATATTTGCTATGAATAAATCACTGCATGCACAGAATTCAATCATTTCTTTATGACTACCATTTCTTCTTTGTTGTTTCCAACTTTTGCATTCCAGTCACTCTTGATTGTATATTTAGTCAATTTCAGACTGTAAAAATTAGTAGAAATCCTCACTTCTTCTTTGGCTTTACTTGTTGGTGCATATATTTGGATGAAGATCAACACTCTAGACATTAGTGAATTAAGATGAACTGCCATGGGCCGTTTGAATCAAGATCACTAGAGAGATGCAAGTCAAAACAACAAGGAGATATGATCTCACTCTAGAAACAATAGTAAAGTTCAAAGGACAGAAAACAGAAAATGCTGGTGAAGATGTGGAGAGATTTGATCTCTTAGATATTCTTTATGGGAATGTCAACTACTCTATGAACTTTGATAAATGTTGACAGTCGTAGAGAGGCTTCAGGCCTTTTGTTCATAGCATCTCTATGATTCTTGCTCAACTCAAAGGCAATCAACAACAACAACTATGGAAAGCAGTTTGGTGCTTACTTAGAAAACTGAATATAGAAATATCATTTGATCCAGCAATCTCACAACTAGGTATATATATACTGGGTTGGGGGGAAGGGCGTGGGGGAGGGAACCAAAAAACAAAACACCCAAGAGCTCTAATACATACAAAGTTAACCAGCATTATTTACAATGTTGTTGTTGTTGTTGTTGTTGTTGTTGTTATGTGCCATCGAGTCGCCTGAGACTCATAGCGACCCTATGTAAAACAGCCCTAAACTCTGCCCTATCCTGTGCCAATCTCACCATCTCCAACACACCTGCCCCATTATTACCTCAGTCACTGAATCAATGCATCTCATCGAGGGTCTTCCAATAGCAAAGAAATATAAACAACTGAAGCGTCTATCAATGGACACATGGAAAAGAAACCATGGCACAATTACACAATAAAGTATGCAACACTAAAAAGAAATAAGGAATTCATGAAAGACTGTAACATGGATGGATCTGGGAGCTCTGGTGACCTAGTAGTTAGAGAGTTGTGCTGCTAACCCAAAGGTTCACAGTTTTAATCCACCAGCTGCTCAAAGGGAGAAACATGGTTAACCTCCTTCCATGTGATTTGCTGCCTGTGAAAACCCACTAGAGAATCAGTTTTAAGTTGGTTCTGACTCAAAGGCACCCAACATCAGCAGCAAAATATTTACACAGAGAATCATTCTTGGATGTTTGTCAGGGATGAAAAGGGAGGGAGAGGTGAGCGAAAAAAAAAAATCAGCAAATAGAAAATAGGTAAATACAGAAATAAATAAAGAGAAAGGCAATATACACTAAGGAGATGATCAGTACATGATCAATAAAGAAAAGGGAGACACAGAGAGCTACAAAGGGATTAATGGAAATTAGAATTACAGGGAGGGTGTGGGGAAAGTGCAATCTCATTGTGGAAATAGAAATTAATGTTCTAGAACAAAACGTTAATTAAAAATTAATTTGCGGGAAACCGCGGCCACCGGATCCCGAGCGGAGCCCGGAG